GCAAAGACAACAGCCCTGCACTGCAAAATGGCAAGATGTGCTTTGGCATGCGTGCAGTGACTACAGCTCAGATGATGTATCATTGTTTAATTGGGCTATAAAGATTGTAAACTCCACTTGCAGCACTGTCAGCTGAGCAGCGGCAGAGCAGCTGATGCCACAAAGGCATGAGTGGCCAGAGGCAGCTGGTTTATAAAAGGGCCTGGGCTGCAGCCAGTGTACCCTGCCCAGCCCTGGCTGTAAGCATCTGCAAAGCAGAAAAGCTGAGTGAGCGGTCACAAGTCACTGGGCTCTAAAGCTGGCTGCGCTTTCCAGGCCTGCATTAGCCCTGTTCCAAGCATGCTGCCAATTACTAACACAACCTCCAACTTTATCACCAAAAATCAGTCTCAAATTTCCCATCTCACCAGCTCAAAGTTTCCCTTCTGGAATCGTGGGTACAATGAAGTGAAACGTGCTCTTCTCAACACTTTGTACAGCAGCTCCTCTGTGTTGGAAGTGTTCTCCTTCACCTCTGAGTAATGTAACAGCAACATATAGGAACACTCACTGAAGCAGGACAGTATGTTTCATATACACAAACATTACTTAGTCACATCGCAGCACTGAGTGTACTGAGAGATGGTAAAAGAGATTAATTAAAAGCACTCTTTGGTGTAATTGCTATCCAGTCATCCAACAAAAAGCACGTTTTAGATCAGCTGTATATGCTTCCATTAAACAGCTGGACAATTACTTTCTTTTTTTCCAGAACAAAATGTACAGCAGCATGATCCACAAATTATACTTCCCATCAGCACTCTCTACCCCTCGCCCCCCAGTAGTGTGTGACATGGTATCTGGTTTAATCCTAGCATAAAGTTACAACTAGTATTCTGCTGCTGAAATAAGAAATCCACACCACTTCTTTTGTAAGTCTTCCTGGTTTTTCTACTGATGAGAATAAAAAGTATTTGCAGACATAAAATGAATCTGTAGAAAAAAAAGTACAAACTAATTCTTACACATTGTAATTATCTGATCCGCTGTGTCTCACTACTGATTCATAACCAGAATGCTCTAGGTGCATACCTTTTCTTTGACTGAAATACCTTTCCAGAAGTATCACCAAGTATTTTCAGTCAGTTCTGTTCCCTGTGCTGTTTTCTCTGCGTGTGCATCCCTTCACAACTTCATGCTTACAACTTCTTGAGGAAAATTGGCCTCAGCAAACCAGAGGAATTATCTCTCCACAACAGCACTTAAATTGTGTAATAATTCTAACCGTAAAACATGACTGGATCCTGCTGCACAATTATGCTTACCATTTACAAGAACGTACAAAACCTGTTCCTTTAGTCTGCTGCCAGTGCACCCCCAGATCTGTAAATTACAAAGCAACAGATCAAGTTGATGAAGAATTTCATTACTAATTGATGCACACATGCGCAGGTGTCTTCAAAAACTCACATCTGTCATCTCCCAAAGTAATCCTGACTGTACCTCAGAGTACTCTGAGTGTTCTCTGTATTGTGCATTTGCAAATTTGCAATTTGCAAACATAACCATGTCACAGTGGTCTAGATGAAGTTGTTTTGCCCTTCAAAGAAAATCCAGTCATAAATTCAGTACCAGAGAACAGGTGTTACAGTTGGCATTGTATGAAAAAAAAAAAAAAAAAAAAAAAAATCAACAGACTCTTGAGAGTGCCTAAAAGAAAAAGCAAGACACAGCAGTGATACAGAAATGTCAAAGAAAATAAACACCACCAAAGCAATGCTGTTTTCAGCAACTTCATTTTACTTTCCATAGTGTTTTAGGATTCACTTAATACCTGCAGAGTTTCATTCAGTAACGACAGAATATGATTCAATTTTAACCCTCGCGAGTTTATAGCACAAGAAAGTGGCCTGCAAGTGTTTAAGAATTTTCTTTGTAACAGCTGAGTAGACTAATTCTCAATGCCCTAATGTATTATTTTCATAGTGGACATTTTGCTTCCCCATTTCAGCAGAATTACAGCATTTATGTACAGAATTATAAAAACCAAGTGAGACTTTTACACAGATCATTCGCCTTGCATGTTATCCTGACTGTTGGAAGAAAAATCCCTATATTGGTCAGAACTATACAGAGCAAACACCCAGGAAAAAAGTCTTCTTTTTATTCTATGACACTGTGTTAATACAATAAATATACAAAACTTCTGAACTACTCAGACATGCAACAGAGGGACAGAAGTGCATTTGTACAGAACCATGACATTCACCAGGATGGCAGAGCATTGTTAGTAATTTACAAAATATACAAACATCCCTCAGATAAATAAAACCAACTCCTAAATTACAGATCAATGACTACTGACATTCCAGTGTTTAAACTTCATACTTTGTACTCAATTTGCCACAATATTACAAAATGACAACTTAGGTGAGTGCCATACTCTGATTAATTAATAAGAGACTGTAAAACCTAGTTTTCATTAGGTACAAAATATTTTAACAAATACCAGCCTTCTGTTGTCAAAGCTAAACTCAAACTTCTCCCTCCCTTTTGGGCTGCAAAGTGTCAAGAGATTTCATGTGTAACTGAACCTTGAATTTCACACCTAAAGGTCCATAGATTCAACCGATGACATTGCAAATCAACGCTCCCTATACATAGAACATTAAATATGTTTTCTCAAAGAGCCTTTAAACATTTGGGAAAAAATCTACCTGCCAAATTCAGGTTTTAGTCCTAATTTTTTTTCGATAATATATTCTGGCAATATATATTATTATGCAATCTTCAGTTAAATTCCAAGGATGATGTCCTTGGGATTCCTTGGTATCCCAAGAGATACCAAGAGGATTGCTTAAATTTAGATTTAAAATTAATTCATAGTACAGTTCCTAGATACAACTCTCAAGTTAACTTCAAAAGATTATGAAAAGAACAATCTTGATATACTGCTGCTAGGATGATGCCTGATCTCAACAGAAAATGGTGACTTTTATCTGGAAAGCTTTTAATAACATTCCACACAATTTTAAGTTCAATGCTAGCATGTCCACTAGTTTTTAGAGCCCCTATTACACAGAATATTTAAATTGCTTTTAACTTCATGATGCAGAGAACATTTAGAAGCAAGTATAGTCATTAATATGAACTTCAGCATAGGTTAAACTACAACATTTATCCAAATTCAAGTTGGATTTAAAGAAATCAGTAAAAGAAAGGAGACTAATAGGGACTTGATGCTAACAGTACAATACCGATCCAGCGATTAAGCTAGGGGTTTTATTTTTTGTAATGCTCTTCTGTTATTATAAATGCAATGTAGTGAAAAAGAATCTATGAAAGTCGTCCACATTCAGAATATGGAGAGGCCTCAGAATTTTATGCTGTCTTACTAAAGGTGATTCACCTTAAGAGCTGAATTCATTTCAGCCACAGCGTATACTTACACAGGCTGTGGGATGTAGTCCTTCCTGTTTTCATTTCCTAAAACAGAGTCTGAAAACACAGCCCAAGTACTATGCATAAGACTCATGAGGCAATCCAAGAATATAAATAGTCTTCAAAGGACAGAAACATGACGTTATACTAAGACCTGATTATATTCTAGAATATTATGATGGTATGTACCATTATGGATTGTTCAGTTCCACAGCACCAATTTATCATCTTAGGCCTCCAGTTCAATGAGTTAAAATCTAATTTTGTTAAAGGTGAAGATTTCTCACTTTTCCAACTCAAAATAGTTTAAAAGCTTTTTTTTTCCCCAGCTTAAATCACATCACAGAGATGTCTGAGTTAAGGTTAAAATGATTTCAAGTATCTGTTAAATGCCATTGCTTAAAAAGCTTGGTTTTAGACAACATTCCTGTTAGAAAATTAAATACTGTATATTTAGGTTCTTGGACAAGCAGTAAACAGAGTGACGGACTAGGGTAGAGATTTAGTACCACTGTTAAACACAAATCTACATTTAAAAAAGGAAAAAACAACCCCCAAAAATCCCAAATACAACAAAATTACCACTGCATGTAGAAGAGGGAAGGGGGGCAAGAAACTAGTGTTCTAAAAGTCAATATTGGTTTCTTTTCCAGCAAAATTATTACCCCAAGACATGAATACTGAAATTAAAAATAGCAAATATATAATCATTTAGTTCTGTGATTGAAACCATCAGCTAACTTCCTTAAACTGTACACTGCATTACACATTCTATTACCGAGAATGTTTATGCACCATAGCAATTTCTCACAGGTAAAGAATACTCCATGAAAACAGATACAAACAAATCCTATATAATTATAAAGTGGTGCAGGTAAATTCTGGACCAAAACACTATTTAAAGAAGACTGGATAACTCAACAGTGTTCATGCAAACTTACAGGATTATATCAAAAGACTTACCCTAAAAAAACCAAACCAAAACAAAAAAATTTATAGTATCTACCCTACTTGTATTTGTCCTCCAGCAGCTGCTGAAATTGCAAAAGCAATAGCCAAACCTAACTTCCTACATCTCTCGGTTTACCCCACTTCCTACAGCAGAAATAGGGAAAACAGTTCTTGCGAAGAAAAATAATTGATCCAAAGTGCCTTCCTGAAGTTAAAAAAATACTGGAGTGAACCACTAAAAAAACCTTCCAAATTCTTAATACATTTATTTGAATTATATACCAAAATTCATTCTCAGGCCAATTGTTGAAATTATTTATCCTCCATAAAATATGGAAGGCCTTATATTCTAGAATGCAACATCTTAAAGAAGGGCAAAGAATGGTTATCTTTTTAAAATAAATAAATTTATAATAAAATAAACCAAACATTTCCCATTTAACCCATGCACAGCTGCAGAAGAGACAAACATGCTGTGTGAATTTTGATCTAGGCTTTTAGGGAATAGAAGAAGTGACTGGAAAATAAACTACAATCAAAGAGAACCGTGATGACTTTTTATGTTTCCCTA